TCAGGTGCCATGGTTGATTGCTTGCCAAGTACCATCTGCTTAGGTTGTTCAACGCCAGCTTCTGTTTATAGTTTCGGGTTCGTGGAAATCTAATAGTTGCTTGTTTTCCGCTTTTTTAATTATTTGTTTTTTGAATGTAAATTCTGCGGGCTGTTTTGTTTGCATCGAATGGAAGAAAACGATATTGTTTTTTTTTTTTAAATTTTAAAATTGCGATTTGGATGTTATACGATTGTGGAATTGGAACCTTTTATGACATCATAAGATGTTGACGTTGAAGGTGAGATTGGAACCTTTTATGACATCATAAGCTGTTGATGTTGAAGGTGAGATGTTAGATTATTGTCTTTTGTGTTCTTAAACGGAAAGTTGTCAGCGGAAGGAGCTAATACCTTGTATAGGTATATATAGTTGAGCTGGTCTGTGTGTTCTAGTAATTCAATCATTATACCGATAATGCTATCATTCTTCAATTTTAATAAAGCTTAACGTGTAACAAAAGAACTTTAAACCTTGAAGAAAAGCTTAACATGTAATCTTTTATTCCCTCGTCAATTAACTGTATTAAGCAATTGTAATAAAGCTTGTGAAAATGGTTGTGGTATCACTATTCAAATTTGAGCCAACTAATCCTCTGTTGCTATGTAGTTTGAGTTGGCTAACAAGTTTGGTAGACAATAATATTTGGAAACAAATTTTAGATCTTTACATGTTTGTGAAAACTTAGTATATTTTCTATTTTTAGTGCTAGCATGTCTTTGACAGGTGATTGCATCACTTTGTACAGACTTGGTGGAATCAAGAGAAGTCATTAGATTAAAAGCTGAAAGTTATCATGGCTTCAAGAGTAATTTTTCGAAGGAAGAGGCACCTTTTCAGTTATGTAAATCAATCTAAATGCTTAGTTCGAGATTTTTCAATTTCTGACCATGGGAGATCATCTCCGTGTGCTGATTCTCGGGGTTCAAGTTGGATTGCAAGTCTTACAGCTGAAAATAATTGTCACAAGGTTGAAGAGAATTTCTCTTCTTTCGTGAAGAATGAAAAAATGACTCTGTCACTAGTCGAAATCTCCCGAGTCCCAAATTTTGGGTATGGACTTGGAAGATCAGAGCTTTTGTCTTCTTTGCGGGTAAGATGGGTTTTGCAATCAACTTATGCTTCCACAGCAACAGCCGGTCAACCTGAATTAGGAAAAGGTAACAGTGAAAATGAACAGCATGGAAGTAAGCAAGTGGAGGAAGCTTCACCTGAGGAGTGTGACCAAGCAGTTGAAGATTTGAGTATGGTGAAAGCGAAAGCAAAAGCTAAGCAAATGCAAGATTCTCAAAAGAGTTCTACATCTATAATTCAGCGAGTATGGGCTATGCTGTTGGGTATAGGCCCTGCTTTGAGAGCCGTTGCTTCAATGAACAGGTTAAAGCTTTCTCACTTTCTTGTGCTAAAGCTAATATAGATTTTCTAATAGTTACTTAGACATTCATAGTTCCTCTCAGGGAAGACTGGGCCAATAAGATTCACCACTGGAAGGATGCATTTAAGTCTACTATGCAACACTACTGGTTGGGTACGAAATTACTCTGGGCTGATGTTAGGATAAGTTCAAGATTGTTGTTAAAACTGGCCAGTGGGAAGGGTCTTTCTAGGAGGGAGAGGCAGCAGCTCACTCGCACCACAGCTGATATTTTTAGATTAGTTCCATTTGCTGTTTTCATTATTGTTCCATTTATGGAATTTTTGCTCCCAGTATTTCTGAAATTGTTTCCGAACATGTTGCCGTCAACTTTCCAGGACAAAATGAAAGAAGAGGTATTGATTATTGTTAACATATTTAGTTTTTTACGTTCTGGCATTCCGTTTTAGAATCTTTTAATTTGGATAACATCAAGATTGTCAAGAATCCGTCCTCCATGCAATTACCTACTATTTTCTCTTCTTTCTCTCTTAAGGCAAAGGGGTAACCTGGCTCCATTAGTGACTGATTGGTCTGATCACAGTGTGCTGGATTTTCGTTGAGAATAGTCTACAAAACTAATTGCATCTCTAAATATCAAGTTAAAAAAAGCATAACTCAAAATTAAGAATTGTAACACTTACTTCAAGGAAAAGCAATTCATTCACAAGGGGTGGCAAAAAAAGAGGTGCTACAACATATTAATTGAAAAATGCATTATTTCACCTTTTTGCCATTTCTTGGATAAGATAATGGTGTAATAAGATGTTTCCTTTCTGCTCGTATATCTTGAGAAATGGCTGGTTGTGAAGCGGGGTTTCACGAATCATGTTTATGTGGCTTTCTTATTTACTTCTAGTGGTATAAGTTGTAATAGTATGAATATTATTTTAGAACTAGTTCACACCTGAAGTTTGCAATTTGACTTATGGATGTAATTGATCCAGGAGTACTTTTGTTTGACAATAATTTATCAGGAATAGTTTCTTTGAGCAAAACTATCTACGTTTCTTTCCTTTCTTGTTTACAAGGTGATTTTTTTATGTTTTCAAGATGTACTTATTTGTGCATTCTGATTGTTCACTGTCAGTGAAGGTGATATGCCTTTGTGAGTGACTATCTTGCTTGGACAAGGGGAGAAGAGAAAAAGCTTCATTAGGGAATTGGATCTTCAAGATGATAGAAGTTTGAGAGATTCAAGTTTTATTAATGTGGAGATAACCAACTTCTATAAAAAGCTTTACAAGGAGGAGGATGAGCCTTTATTTGGGTTTGGGAGTGGTTCACCTTATAGTTTGATAAAGTTAGCTGGTTAAAGGGGACTTTGCAAGGTAAAAAGTCAGTTAAGTGGGGTGGGATTCAGATGTGGAGAAAGGTCATGGTCCGGCCAACAAAGTCATTATCTTCTTTAAGTGCTACTAGAATCTTGTCGAGGGTGATCCCGTTAAGGATTATGGTGAATTTCATTTCAACAACAAAATTCTAGCATAACAGTACCTTCATTGCGTCAGTTCCTAAAAGATATTGGTTTAGTAAGGTGACCAATTGCTGAACCACTGGTTTGGTGGCTAGTGTTCATAAACTTATTACCATGTCCTATCCTAGAAATTGGGAGGAGGGGGGGTAAGATACTATTTAGGTCAACCAGATTGCTTTCATTGCTAGTAAGTAAAATTTTGCTCTTATATCATTGCTAAGACTGGTTGTGACGTAGGACAAATTAGGACTAAATTTGCCTACCAAGAAATTTGGAAAAGAAACCTAGAAATCACACTTAGGGTTTCTTAGACATCATATATAAGAAGTCTTAAGCATCATACTTAAAGGTTTGGTTGCATCAAACAAGCAGAAAATTGACGAACTCTCTAAATATCATTAAATAACTTGAATGATTAATAAGTGAAATCACAAAGTTATTTATAATAATATATAAGTAGTTTTTCCTAACTAGAATTAAATTAGGAAACAGTAAGCTAGTAAAATTAGTAATACTAATCCTAATAAGAATAAGAAATTAATACTAATAATACTAGGAATTCTAATTTTAATACAAATAGGAAAATACTTATAAGAACAAAAATCATTAATTACTAAAACTATAATAGTACGCCTTGATATTATAGACTTCTAAATAATATAATAGTTTTACCTTTACAAGCATTGTAACATCTAATCCATTTAGGCATAATCCATTATGTATCATTCTCCCCTAGTTGGAGAAACTTTGTTCAAGTAAAAGCTTGACCTTCGAGCATCCCAATGAAGACTTGACAACCTTTGTGTTTGGCTCTTCTCGCGATACTTGTTTACCAAAAGCTAAATCATCATCCTCGTAGGATACATAACCAACGTCTCTGTCTTACAGCTCCTCATTTTCTTTTATTCCGACATGCAAGTTATTCTTTGTGGGGCATTTGTAACCCGCCCACTTTGTCCATATCTAAAGCAAACAATTTCCTCAACTTGAAAAGGAGTTTTGAAACATGATATTGATCCATTCTTGAGCGTACCTTTTGATTCAAATGTGTCTTTAGGAGTGAATTCCGTGATTGGAGATGCAATGTTTCTTGGGATTGGATATTTCAAATATTCTTCCACATCAAGGGCCACTAAATAAGTTTGTGCTATAGTTGCAGGAAGTTGTCGAATTAACTCTCTTTTAATATCAGCTCTTAGTCCTATCTTAAATTGAGATGCTGCTTGAATATCATCTTTGACTAATTGACTCCAACTTTTTAATTCTCCAAACTTCTGTATATACTTAGTTACGATATGTTGTCTGGACTAAAGTGTAAGCTTGGGTACAAAGTTTGTCAAAGTAGTTGGGAGGTAAATTCTTTTCACAAAGAATAATTTTTATCTCCTCCTATGTTTCAATTGTTGGTTGTCTCCTTTTTGTTATATTTTTATCAATCATATAACACCATATTTTTGCAAGTCCAACTAACTTATCTTTGCACATCAAACTTTTCGTGCATATGATATGTCATACTAGTGGAAGTATTCTTCCATTGAATTAAGCCAACCAAGAAAGAAATTGGGGCCTCTTCTTCCAT